GCTTTCCGAATAGAAAACCCACGAAGTTCTTCAAGAATATGATGGTGCCTAGATAGCGGGGTTTCGTCACGCATGGTAACTTCCAAAAATCTCTTCAAAACTTATTCCACAATTGAAAAACCAAAGAAACAAAGACACAACTAAAATTACAGGTGTAGGAGAACTCAAAATCATCGTGAATAATGGTGAAATAAACCATCCATCTCCAAAATAACTGATCAAGATTTTATAGTAACCTTCAAGAAGGAAGAAGCTATTGTTACTAACCAATGCAGTGAAATACTTTTGGTAGCAAAGAAACACGGCGACGGTAATGGTGAGGTCATCTTTGTGACGAGTATACCTGAGATATGGCTTCTTGAATTTATCAGGAAACAGCAGCTACCTAACATGCTGAAGCTTGCAGAGTGGCTCTAAAAGATGAATTTCTGTTCTTGATTTCAATGAGACTTGAGAGTTAACAAGCAAACTACTTGACTGAAAAGTCATCAAGAATCGACGCATCTTTACAACTAAGTGAAGATGAAAAGAAGAAAGTCCAGCCACTAGCAAAAAGTTTTTTTCAAAATTTTTATTTCTCGACAGGGTAAGATCTAACTTAGAGAACAAGATTCTTCAATATCTATATTACAAAAAAATGTAGTCTACCAAATCATTTGCCAAGATTGCCAAGTTACTTTTGTAAGATAAACTGGTAGACCCTTAAAACATACCAACGATAAACGAACATTTAAAGTCAATAATTCAAGAAGCAACAGTAACTACTGGTTTTGTTAATCATTGCATTTCTTATAATGTTCGTTTAGACCCATCTAATGTAAAACTATTACATGATAACAATAAAGGCAGACAGAACTTACTAGAAATATGAGAAACATTGAATGTCACTTACAATAACAAAATTGAATTTTTCTTGTACCATCCCCTTCTCTAAATACTTTTAAAGTAATACAGGAATATGGATGGAATTTATGATTGTGCAACATTCTATGGACCGATGCGGCAGATATTTCCAAGTTATGTGAGACTACAGGAATGGAACTTCTAGAGTTAACGTTAAAGTAAGCTAATGTATTAACTTTGTTACTTTCATCTTTAGTTACGAGTTTTTCGTACAACTTCTTTGCCCCAATTCCAAAACGTGCAAACGTGCTTCTATTCGCCTGAATTTTATCTTGTTCATCGGAAGCAGATTCGGATACCATTGGTTGAAAAGACGACAAGTCCTCGCTACCATGAATGGTATAATTGTTCTGTTCACTTATGAGATAATATACAATTCCATTTGAAAAAATCAACTTAAGCGTGTTTGAAATTTTATAAGTTGGACGCTACATTTTAAACGCCCTGTACATTTACGATACTACAGGCATACACCAGATGGAGATAGGTACGAGGTAGCTAATCACCCAATATGGTTACGACAATTAGTTGCATAATCCGCTATTAAGCATGGGAATGCAATTTTCAAAATTTTCAGTAAAATAGGTATCTATATCTCGAAAATTACTAATTATTCAGGCAGAGTTATATAATCAAAGTCTATCTAAAAAGGTTCTCTAAATCTAATACTCATAAGAAATATAGGATTCTATTTAAAATAGGCTAGTTGATGTCGACTTCCGGTATAACCGGAAGTGACCGACGTTTTAAATAGAAAGAGCGTCAGATTTCAGATTATTTGTCGCATTTTCAAACCTCTAGTGGTACCTCTTAGTTCGAACTCTTAACGTAATGAGAATCACGCGAAACGCAAAAGCTACCTCTGAGTTTTTGACGCGGCAGAAAATGTCAAAAATAGAACGTTCACTGGAACAGGACTAAGCGATTAAATTTTGCTTTTATCTGGCCTAAACAACCTCTAAGGCGCATTCCTTAGTTAAAGGGGATTGCAAAGACGACGCCCTGTCAAGCGCCTAGGTTTTCTAGTGGTTCAGTAAGTTCGAGTACGGATATGAATCTACTTGAACATTCATGAACGAAAATAGGGCCAAAGTAAGAAATCTGCTGTACCTGCTTCCATACACCCAACAAACAAAAACGATTAGAGATTGCCGATCGCTTAAAGCTTTATCAAGACAACATTCAGCCTACATACCCGGCGTTTTGACCACCTGCCAAGCCCGAATACTTGCAACTCTGACGCAGCCAACGTACAGCCCAGATATCAACTCAAAAGACTTTTCCTGTTCCCAACACTTAAGAGACGCCTGAAATGTTCATCGGCTTCTTACAGAGTTTCTGAAAGAGGTTGTGGCAGCTGACTGAATCATCTTGGCAGCAGTGTATTGACGCTAAAGGAAACTATTTTGAAGAATTTTAACAATATATACTGTTCTGATTAATAAATTCTTTTTATCAGACCCAGTCCGATTACCCTGTATTTTTAACTCCAGCGCGAGAAAAGTAAAAAACTGAACTTCCTATGCTTTTAATTTTTCAGTCAGTTCCTGATATAAATTGAGAATAAATAAACGTTCAAAACACATTGTTTGAATCTCATTATTTCGAAAAACACTTCAGACAAAAGTTGTAGCTTCGGTTTGACAATCAAGACCATTAGAAGACAATTAACTTTTTTTATGGGAGTACATAGTTTTAGGCCAGCATTGGAAAGAGCGGGAAACATTGTAATCGGAATGCCATTGAAATTAATTTGTTCCTAATTTCTTATAATTTCTCCCAAAAAAATAAGGCTAAATCAACTTGAAAGGCATTTCTGATTTCACAATTTTTCGCTTTTTCCATTTTTGACCTACAAATATTCCCATTCAAAACAATAATGACATAACCCAGAAAAGTAAAGTTTAGATTACACTTAAGGTGACCATATTATTGCCCTTTTAAAAACAAACAGCCCTTGTACAGAACTTTTTCTACAATAATGAGACTCAATCACGGTAGGTATTTCAGATATTTGATTGCATTTAATCTCACTTAAATACGGATTGGAACATCAAGAGTAAATCAACCTATAGAATATCTCGGACAACAAAACCTTCCAGTCCACCCAAGAGACTTCGAAGGTCAATATCATCAGTTGACTTCCCATTCGAAGCATTGTCTCAAGGTATACAACTCGTCCTATATGAGCGATTTAAGCTGTAGTATAAAGATTTCAGTGCGCTCCTACCTAATAATTATTTATTTATTGTCAAAGGCACAAAAATTATCGAGTTTAGTTAAACAATCTATTTCGTGTTTTATTTACTCAACTATGATTATGACATTCAGTAAGTTTCTGAGGGTGTAAAATAAATCAATAGGTTTTAGTGTTTTATTCTATCATAGAATGAAGTCTTTAATCAGCAATTTATCAAAATAGCGATCTTAAACTTATTAGTTCTCACAAGCACACCATAAGTAAAACCTGTGTTTCGTTGTAAAAATATCTAAATAGATGCAACAATAAGTTATTGACAGCCATCAACCGATATTAACTACTAACTGTACGTATCTTGTATAAAACTGCATCGTGAATTGAATTTACCGTCGTGAGACCATTACTATTACCAGTACATATCAGTAGAAGACGATAAGCTACCAATAACTTGATATTGTGAAACTTAGTTAAATCACATATATCGGTATTATAATACATATATAGGTATGTTATTATATAATTGGTAAGAATACGACCCGTTAAAATAGCTAAATTTAATGCCTAAAATAAGTTATGTAATAATTATGTAGTTTATCCCGAAGCAGGTTGATTTTCGGTTTCAAATAACTATTTTTTAACAAGAAAATCTGAAGCTAACTGAATTATTGTTTTTAAAGTTTTTAATGCAGAATTGTTCTTATCTAACTTTTACACGATTTGAAACAAAGGGGCGAAGTTCCCATTTTTTTGATTGTATGCATATTCGGATTATTTCATAAATAAGGAAACATTCAAAATTACCGTTGCAGTCATTTCCACGATAAGTAAAACGATTCTTGATTTCAGAGAAGACATTAGAACCTCAAAATTCATATTTTGCATAACAATTTGCAAGACTAGTATCTTAATTGAGTTTCTCATCGCATTACGTAGTTTTTTCCAGAGTGGCCGTCAAATAATTACACAACTATATGTTTTTTGTAACGTTTCGGTTTATTCAACCATCTTCAGACTTTTGAAGTATTACTGCTTGTACACAGATATTAACTTATTTTTAAAATATTTTAAAGTATGCAGTTGTTCAACATGAGAGAATATTTAATAGGAATCAAATGTTCTTGAGCATGATGACAGTTATTACTCAGAGATGATCAAATAATTACACAACTATATGTTTTTCTAACGTTTCGGTTTATTCAACCGTCTTCAGACATTTGAAGTGTATGCAGTTGTTCAACATGAGAGAATATTTAATAGGAATCAAATGTTCTTGAGCATGATGACAGTTATTACTCAGAGATGATCAAGGCGGAGATATCATTTTCATATTATAGTCAAATACTGGCATTTATTTAATCCAGGAATTCGTATGTTCGAGTAACTCCATATTAAAAACAAAATTAAACACAAAGTTAAAGTTACAAAATATTTTATTAATCATTTTGGTCATTTCGATATAACGTTTTGTAATTTTAGTTTCTGTTGTTTTTGTTTTTAATACGGTATTTGCAATTTATTTGCCCAAAAGAATTAAAATTGTAATAAAAAAATGAATTACTTTATACAAGTTGTAAAATGCCTAAATCAATTTACTTGAGAAGTTACTTTCTATCAACACTACCACAATAACCGATATTATGATGCAAAGTAGTAAAACCGTATTTGAGTGAGTAAATGCATAGAATCAGTTACCTATTTCCATTTATATTATGTTTCCAAATAAAGATTAAATTTTCTTGCGTAACATCTTCGTAACTCGTTTTGTTCATCACTTTTCAAAATGGCTCTCGCCTGACATTAAAATTTAATAAGATAACAACTTTCAGAGTGCGCCAGTGGGTCGTCACAGAATTCAGTAAACAAAAACTATGTCGTAATCAGAAAAGAATTCGCTGACCTATTTCTTCCTCTTCATTTCACCTGGAAGTGAGTTCCATAACTCGTCCAATTCCTTTGTGGCCCCGCCAACCACATTTCGACGGTTGCTTCAGCCCTCCAATATTTCCCAAAATCAGAACGTTATGAATATCTATTTAAATTGTAATAACATTCAAAATGTTCACATTGTAAAAAGTAGAGGGATAGACATTTTATTAGTTTGCTGCCTGAGGCCTAAGTGTTTTTAATAAGAACATTTATTAGAAAAGACTGCTTATACATTGATATTATGTAAGTTCTTTTAATGTTCTAAACTTTTTCATGTCTACTGATTTCACCAAAAACACTGCCAAAAAATCAGTTCTATGATAAAGGTTATTTGCAGGTAAACTAGAAGAGGATGAGTTGATCATAAGTAGAATATCCTTTTTGTTGTATTATCTTTATTTGTAGTTATATAGTTCAAGAGATTATTAAAAACAAAACAAAGCTTAATCTGAACTGACAAACGTCATAAAACTAGTACCCAATAATAGTTATCGCCAAATCAATATTATTACTTCATTACTACTAATTACACCCAGTTTTAATAACAAATAAGCACACTGTTTCTCACCAGCACGTTGCACACAAAAGCGACCAACTTATTGCCATTAAACAGCGTTCAGTGAATAAGTCTGTGGATTCAGTCTGATAACTTGATATGCTTATTAGAAAGGGACCTTATTGAACAGTATTGAATCCCAAAAGTACCAATTTTTTACGAATGACGCTCCCTACTCTCTCTGTACTTACTCATTCAACGCTGTTTAATGACAGCATTATATTATTAATATAAGATTGTGAGCGCATCATTAACATGGTCTGTACGAAGCAAACCGATCGATACTAAGTAAAGTTCATATTTGTTTATCAAATACGATATACCTAACCAAGAATTGTGTTTTTCACTGTTATCAACTAAAGTGAACTAAATCATGACCAACATCATATGCCTTTATTTTGTAATATGAGATAGCATGAAAGAGAATACGTGTAGGGATGCAACGTAGAGAAGTAAATATTAGGAAGGGAGTCAGACAGGGATTCACACTGTCACCGCTACATTTTAATCTATACATCGAAGACGCGATCAACATCGTTAAATAAAGTACAACTGTAGGGATAAATATACAGGGGCAAAAGATTAGTATGCTTAGATTTGCAGATGATTGAAAATTAGAAGAAGTGACTGATTTTAGATATTTAGGAAGTCAGATAAAGTCAGTCAGGACGAAAGGAGTAGTAGGGAAATAAAGCAGAGGATAACGCAGGGTCGTGTCGCCTTTAATAAAAAGAAGTCACTTCTATGCTCGCGAACGGTTAATTTAGAAATTCGCAAAAGGTTGTTAAAGGTGTTTGGAGCGCGGCGTTGTACGGGTGTGAAACATGGACAGTGGGCGTGGCGGAAAAGGTTAGAAGCCTTCGAAATGTGGTGTTATAGGCGAATGATGGGGATTACGTGGGTAGAAAAGGTTAGAAATGAAGAGGTATTAAAAAGAATAGGAGGACAGGGGACTGTATGGAAGTCAATAAAAAATAGGCGAGATAGGTTGGTAGGACACCTTCTCAGGCATGAAGGTCTAGTCAGAATCATATTAGAGGCAGAAACAGGAATTGGGAGGGGTAGAGGCAGACCTAGGTTAGATTACTGTTCGCAAATAGTTAAGGATGTGGGTTGTTCTAGTTTAAGGAAAATGCGAAGTTTAGCCCAGGATATGAAAGAGTGCAGGTACGTGTCCAACCAGTCTTAGGATAGTAGGTAGGATAATCGGTGTTTTGTCTAAACTACCTACAGTGTGAACCAAAGAGTTCGAAATCGCAATACACGTCTGACAGTTTGGATAGAATAACTGAGCAAGAATTTTTTGTTGTTTCGGTTATGTGCCTATCATGTGGTTGCTGCACGGTGAGTTCAGTTTGACAGATTAATATCTTTCTTATTATAACAATGTTGTGTCCCACAATGAGTAGCGAATTTTTACATATATAGCTTCTAATAACTCGAATTATTTGTTCTATTTATTGTACCACAATATTGGTTTCACTATTTAATTTCCAAAAATATATACAATATAAATTTGGATATTTACGTAGTACTGTATTGTTTGTTGAACCGTGTTACAATGCTTTCTTGAGCTTTTTGGAACGTAATGACTCAGGAAAAATAAGGAAAACATTGCTATCTTTCATTCCTACTTGTCATGCTACCTACCGAACGGGCTATCGTAGCGACCTACACAATGATACAGTGTGGTGGCTGTCCACTCTACTAGGAATAGCGCGATATTGGTTAAGGAAATATAGTTAGCTAGGCGCGATTAGTAAATCAGCATCGTTAAGAGAGAAAAAGATTTGTAAGAAACCCAAATAGTTGCAATTCGAAGAAGGTCTGGGCGTGAATTGATAACATTTTGAGAAATAGCGATAACAATTAAACAGCTGCGTTGATGATACCTAAATGTAAACAGTGACGGTTGTGGAAAGACTAATAAAGTAAATATCAACAGCTTACGACTACGCTATTACACTTAATAATCTCTAGACGCCCATTGCGATAACAATTTATTAAATAATTACTTTTTTCATCCCTGTTAGTATACAGTACTATTTAACATACACCTAGACATAGCATTAAGGACACAAAAGAAAGAAAAAGTTAACGTTATGTAAACAGTTACAGATAAATCAATATCGTTTAGATAGGTAACAGTAGTTTTATTAAATTTCCAAACCCCCATTGATGTATTGACAAATTGTGTTACCTTCTTCTATAGGTGGCTCGGTGGGTGGAGTTTGTAATGGGAAAGATGAAACAGGCGAAATGAAAATAGAAGAAAAGTGAAAGATTATCTGTTGAATATTATTTTGTCCAAGTAATCAAAGCGAACCCAGAATCGAACCGATATCCTCTTGAGTGATAAGGATTGTCCATTAAGATGTATTTTTATGTGACTTTTCTTTGAATTTTAATGCTTGTTTCTCATAGTAATTACATTTTTGTTACAAACGGATTTAATATAGGCCTACAGTTCGTAGACACTCTACAAAACTATGTTATCGAATATGGATTAAATGTATAGGTCACTCATGTAAATTTTATTGTTACCATATGCGCAGTTAACTTCTCAATAGATTGGTACTTGCATGCGTAAATTTAGCGTGACATTTCCTATTATGGGACCGAATAATTTGAAGTCTTGTAAGTGAATTAAGTTTAATTGAATTATCCTTTCTGCCACTAACGTATCTCTGCAGTAAAACATCAATCAATTAACATAAATCCATTTGACGTACAAGTATTAAGGCCACCTGTTTAACCTCCGCCCTGTAATAGGTAATTCAATTATTTACTTTAATCTGTGATTTCCTATGTTAATTACTTTATTTTTAGAAAACAAGTTCAATCTGAAGTTTGCCATTTTTTGTTTTAAAAATGAAGGCAAATCAAATAATCACTATATTGTCAGATAGGGCGTGGGAGTGATTTGATTGGTTTGTATGAAGTGCTATGGGAGAATTCGAGTAATGGTGAGAAAGTATTCCTTCATATGACCATTATTAAATATTTTAAAAAATATATAAAACGCAATTAAACGTTAATGACAGTAACAAATCATCCGTTTCCATCACTAGGCTGGTATAATTAATCATTATAGTTTCTGGTATATAGTTTATATGATAAAAGGATCCATAAATTGGTGACACCGACGTGATTGGAAGATACAAAGATGTTGACCACAATAACAGACTTTCGTTAAGCGACCTTTCACGGGCGCCACAAATTTTTCGTCTACTTTCCTACAGAAACTCCGAAATTTGGCAATAACTGTTCCGAAACCGCCTTACGTATTAGTTTGTCCCTGAAATAGATGCCTGAAAACATACGGGGTATTCTCGCCATTTCCGAAACCACGACACTGTCGAAAATAGCCCTACAGACCGATCGTATCCTAGAGGTCATTGCGAACAACGCAAATTTTCGATATGTCACAGGAGAGATTTCACTACGGTGAAGCTACACCTACAATAAGCAACCGAAACTCCACCAAGCATGGAATGGGCGTCGGAAAAGATCCACGAACTTTCACTAGCGATCGAGGCACTGACGCGTAAGTTTGGATCAGAAAAAGGATCTGGAGGCCCCAGCAACCTGCGGGATCGATTACCTTTCCTGAACAGAGCGGTATATGCTACTACCATCGTAGATTCGAAGACGACGCTGACCGTTGCCACAAGACTTCTTCGCGGAAAACTAGAGCTCCTGATACGTGTTGAGGCAGCGACTAGCGGGTTTACCACATCAAAACGTCTCCTTGTATCAGATAAGAAGACGCATATACGTTTCCTGGTTGAAACAGAAGCAGACGTATTCGTGCTTCCCAAACAATACACTCTAAAGACGACCTCCAGTGACAGATCCTTATACGCAGCCAATCGGTCGAAGACCGAGATTTATGGAGAGGAGCATGCCATGGACTTCAACTTGCAGCGATCATTTACTTGGAAATTTATCGTTGCCGAAGCAGCACAGCCTATATTAGGTAGTAACTTTGTGCGTAATTTCAACTTACTACCATATATACGGCACAAACGACCAGTCAGGACACTTTCGGTAACAACACTCGGCAATGCCACTCTCAATTCCACAAAATTGTAGCAGAGAGCCGGATCCAAGACGGTTTCGTAAGCCCCTCGAAGAAGACATTTCATTCAAGACGGCCAGTCCAAGCACTATTCCAAGAAGCGAGACAAACGACCCGTCAAGTGGACCCAAGAAACCGAACAAGGTTTTGAGACATGCAAGGAGCAACTTGCCAAGCCAGACACTTGTTACACATCCCGCGGGAGACGCTGTGGGGTTCGTACTGGCGTAAATTGTATATATTGCGCCAGCTTCTCGGTTTCTCTTCGAAGAAGCTCACGCGAATGCAGTCACGTTATAAGCGTACGATCGAGACCTACTAGTAATATATTCAGCTATTGAGCACTTCTGTCATATGATCGAAGGCAGAGACACGGTGATTCATACGGATCA